CGCCCAAGCCTGTTGAAGAAAGCCTAGCTGCTGAACCCAGCCTTCAGTGTGACGTGGTTTGAGCTGGTGGTGGGGGCAGGGAGGACAGATGTGACCCCATGGGAGGATGTGCTCTTTCTGCAGAGACTTTCCCGCCACTGAGAACCGCGTGCTTCCAGGAAACCACCTGGCTCTGCCTTGCGATTTACAGTGTCCTGGGCGGTGGATGCTGCCCAGGGGTTTCAACTCTTGGACTCACGGCACAGGGGAAATAGAGAAGACAGTTATGGTACAGAACAGAGTATAAATGTCATTGGTGATGACAGTATAAAAACACGTTCATCTTGCAGAGAAGTCAGCTAGGAAAGACGAGGGTGACTGACGGCCGCCATCCCTAATTTACAGAACAGGAAGTGAAGATGCACCATCGAAACTCGGCAGGGTGAGCATACACTTAAAACAAAGGTTTAAGTGCATACTATAGATACAATAACGAAAAATAAAAAAGTATCTAATTTTAATAGTGCGAATCGATATTTAAAATAGAAAATCTAGAAATATAGAACCAGTATAGTATTCAGAGTCACAAGAACAAAAATTAAAAATGATTAAAATGTCTGCTTCTGAGTTTGCTCGGGGCCAAGGGTAGGGTGGAGATACGGCTTGTTATCCCTAAGTTCTCTTCTGTTTGAGTTTTTACCAATGGCTGCAGTATTTTCATAAAGTAAAAACTGTTCTGTTCATAAGTATGTATTTTTGCTATCACATTTCTCAGAACGGTTACAAAATGGTCTTAGCCTCATTCATGAGAAGCACCTTACGTGAGCTACTTAATGTGCATGAATTGGCTTCCCACCTAAAAATGAAGGGGCAACGAGTCATGTTTTATTTCAAGATAAGTTTAATTTTATAACATTGTGATATATATTATAAAAACTAGAATAAGACACATCACTCCCCTCTTAGAGTTTCTTAGGCATTTGCTTGAATAACTGAACAAGAATTAAGATTAAATTGCCCATCAACTTTAAGTAAGTGAATATTTGAAAGTATTTCTATTAGTAGTTTTGCACAACCCTCCCTAATCTCTTTCTAATCAACATGTTTATTAAATCTTCTCTTTATAACAGGAAAGTCAATTTCAGCAATTTATCCTTCCGTGTTCATAGATTACTAATTACTGTAGGTTTACCTTGTAAAGTCTCACTTTCACGTAATACATTCACTTCCGTTAGATAAATTGCCTGCACGTAAAACAGTGTATTACTGGCCACTTTTAAGTATCATTTCCCCACCAGTCTTTGTAAAACATCACTGCTTTCCAAGGGAAGTCTGAGAGTAGCTTTCCAGATTTTCTGGAATTGAATTTCCCAGAAAAGTGGAAAGATGTTGGACAATCACAGCTATAGAGCTGGGAAGTATTGAAGAACTACTCACTAATCCTACTGACGTATGCGTTTGGGGTTGGAGTACATTGCACAACAAAGAAGAAATGTTGGTTGGTGCCTTTGCCCCCTCCCTCCCCCCATCCTTCCTTCTCTCCTTTCCTTCCCATTCATCACTCAGCCCAAGCTAATTTAAACTATGTTATCCTGGAATCTGTGCAGAGAAATGCATGTGACACTCCAAATCTTAATATTTGCCAAAGTTTGTGGCTGTGATCCTCCAGCCCTGCACGTAACTTCTTTTCACATCGGATCTAAACTCTAAGAGTCAGGAAGGCAGCGTTGGATCTGTTTTGTTCTCTGCTGTTTGCCCAGAAGCCAGGAGGGCCTGCGGCCACGGCAGATGCCCAGTCATAAGCTACGGAGGACACGGACCTGGCACGTCTCTCTAAATGCTGTATGTACACAAGCACACTTAACCTTCCCAGGTAGGTTTGACCATCACCCCCTTTTAAAGGTGGGGAACCGAGTCCCAAAGAGGCCAGCTGGCCTGGTCACAGCGCTAGTCACAGGAGTTTCTGGGCTCAACCGTGGGTGCCACCCCACTGCGTCCTGGTTACCATGTCCCCGGGGGGTGCTGTGTCTGTCCTCCACACCCATTACGTGTGCAGAGTGGAGCCCACGTCCGGTTAGTGGCTGCCACGGCTATGTGGATGGAGCGCCGCCTCCAGCAGTCGTGGTCTGGACTGAGGGGGCTCTTAGCCCTCAATTTGGGACATGTCTTATTCTACAAAGGGGCAGGTGTTACCGAATGCGAGTGGATCGGGTGGGATGCCTGCCACCAAATTCAACAGTATCATTGATGGAACAGAATTGCCTTTGACTTAGAACATTATAGAGTAATTTTTACATTTCAAAGTTTTTCATGTACTTTATCCTAGGCACCAAGTTACACTGTGAGGAGGCATTTTTATTTCCATTTTACTAAGATGCCCAGAGTGGAAGGGTTAAGTCATATGTCCTGACCCCAGTGGCCTTGCACTTGACACTGCAGGAGCCCCCGGGCGTCCAGAATGAGGGGAAAAACGGGCCAGTCGTCTGGCTGTTAGTCGACTTCTAACATCCATATTTTTGGACATCAGGTAGATGGTCTTTTTCAAGTCTTAGACTTGGTCTACACTGGCAGAGGAAGTGTGTGTCTTTGAAACCTAACTAGCCCCAAAGTCAATTATTTGTTTTCAATAATCATTCTCTGGTAGGTAATTACCAGTTTGCCCCAAACTCTGGAACTAGAAACGGTTGAATTCAAATAACCAGCTAGATATTTATTATTAGTAGGTTAGTAGTGAGGTGTTTTCACCAAAAGTGACAGCTTAAAATTAAGCATCACTTTCTCCCAACCTGGCTTGTAAGAGCGGCCACGACCTTGATGGTTGGATGGACTGTTTCCTGTCCATTCTGTCATCCTGAGAAGGGGACTCCATTAGTGAGCAGTTAGGGGTGGGGGCAGGAAGGAGGGTGTTCAGTCCTCTGTGTGTGTGGAGGCGGCTTTGGGGCAGCTGGTCATCTACTTTGTCACTGAGTCTGGGTCCTATCTCTGCTTTTCTTTCCGTGTCTTCGTGGGGAAGAGAGTCCTGGTTCCCAAGCTCGAGCCCATGCTAGGTTACACTCCTTCCTGGTGGGTGAGGTGCCCGAGGGGAAAGCAAGAGGCATTACCTTGGGTCATGACGATCCCGGCCAGCGCCTTGTGGCGGGCGTGCGCTGACGCCAGGCCCACGGCCAGCTCGTGGAACTTCTGCGTGACCAGCTGGGACACGGTGTCGGCGAATTCCTGAAAGACACAAGCAGCAGGCCTCTGTGACGGCTGCGCCGCTGCCATGTCCTCCCTCCTCTAAGCTGCGACCCCATGGGCATCTGAGGTCCCCCTGCCCTGCGGCGCCCTGCCACCCAGCCACCGTGACCCCACAGGCCTCGGGACACCAAATCTGTGGCCTTGATTCTGAGACTCAGCCCCCGGCGTGGCCCCTGGGCACAAGCCCCTGAGCCTATGCAGAACCTTCGGGTGGGGGGACCATCCCCTACATCCCTCCCTGCCTTGCAGAGGCTTCCTGCGGGGGGTTTGCACACACACATCGAGCAATCGGTTCCCACTTTCTTCTCCGTGTCACAGAACCAATTCTAAACTCCCCCCCGTGTCCAGGGACCGCTCCCCACAGCTCCTCTGCAGCCTGCTCCTTTCAAGTTTCTGCACACGTGCATGTGTACAAACACATACACACAGATACACACACGTGCATGCACGATACACATGTGCACATACACATACACACAGAGAGACCCATGCACATGGCACACATACCCATGCACACCTGTGTGTACATGCATACACATATGCACACATACATTCAGACATCACAGCCACACATGGGCACACACATGCCACACACACACGCACACACACACACACACAAAGATACATGCGATGTGTGCACGCACACAAACACAAAGGTGATGTAATCCCGGTTGTTGAGTTTTCTGAAATGACCCGTGTTTCTACAACAGCGGCACATGTGAGGCTTGCAGGCCCATGTTCCCCAGAGAGCTAGGCTGTCGACTCCCGCCTTGCTCCTGGTCCCGCGGCTGAAGCCCCTGCAGTGGCCCCATCACCGCTTTTCAGTCGACTTTCATAGGCTTGGAGTTGGAGACCCCGGTGTGCGTCCATGTGGGCCCGGTTTCATATCCTCTGACCTCGCACGGGGGTTGGGGGGGTGGAGGGCAGGGGCCACATCCAGCTGGAGGATCGGGCCGCTTCTGCTGGTCTGAGCACGGGACCATCCCCCCCACCCGCCGTTCCCCCTGGCAGGGTGGTCCAGCATCCGCGGGCCGCGCTGCGGGGCGCCTCCGTCTTTCGCTCTGGAATCGAGTTCTGGCGCCTTTGTGTCGCCTTCCATCCCCAGGAGGCGAGGGCGGAGCTGGTGCCCTTTCCTCCTCCAGTAACTTTCCAGGCGCTTCCCCCACACCTTCAATGGTCCTTTCCCTTATTTTTAAAATGAAGTTTCTGAACGTGCAGGAGGTGATGAGACCGACAACATGACAGAGGAGACATCTAATCCCTTTGCGTCCACTGGACGGGGCCCTGTGGGGCCTCAGAACAGGACGCCCCAAACCACTGAACAATGACATAAATTACACAAAAACCGGCTTCATGCGGAAACCCAGAGGCCAGTGCGCTTCGCTCAGGGTCGCAGAGCAGACCTGGCGCCAGCACCGCCTTCTTGCTGTCCCCGCTTCGGCCTGCAGGGAGGTGCTTCTCACTACTGAAGCCACGTCTCTGCCAGGATGTGGCCGGGATGGCAGGGATGGGATGTCAACCCAGCAGCCTTGGCTCAGACCCTCCTCTCGAAGCCCCACTCCCTGCTTCTGGGGAAGTGGCTTTCTCTCCTGGGAGCTTCAGCGGGAGCAGCCCGCCTACAGGGAGTCGGGGCTGAGCACTGTTCGTGAGGAGGCGCGTTACCAGGAGGCTTCATCCTGGGTGCCTGGCGCCCTGGTGGAGCCATTCCAGGAGAAGTTGATGCAGAACAAATCAGAGCTTGTTCCTGACCCTCGTGGTTACGCGGATGAAGGGTCCCTCCCCTCCCTCCGCCTGGCGAGGCGGGTGGGGCAGCGGACGGAGGTGGGTTGGGTTGTCCAGTCTCTCCAATGGTGATGAGGACCTCTGCTAGCGGACATGACCTCAGACCCAGCAAACCTCCCGTGAAAGGGCTGCACCCCCAAGGGGGGCCCGGGGTTGGGGGGCTGCCCCACCGGCCGGTCAGGCCCCTGGTCTGTCCCAGCAGGCCTGACCCTGGGGTTGGGCTCCTGGCCTACAACTAGTCCATTGTGCCCCGTCTCTTAAAACTGTCCTCGGCTGAGGACACTGCTTTCCATCACCACAGCCCTCGGCGTGGAGCTGGTCCTAGAACCCCGTGCAGCGTCTGTTTGGGGCTTTGTCTGTATTTTGTGCTTCCCCAGTAGCTCCATGTTTTTAATGACGGAGCTCCAACTCCACACACATTTGAGGTAGGGGTGTGGCTTGTACGCATCTCACACTTTCTTTGTCCTGCCGTGGACGTGTTGTCCCGCGTGTGTCAGTGATGACGCACATCTCGGATGGAGGACTGCCTGCACCCACGACCTTTCCAGGGATGGCAGAACACACACACTGGCTGGTGGGAGGGTAGACATTTCGGGAAAAAATTAGTGATGTTTCTTCACCCATCGTTCTGGTTATTTTCTGACTCTAACATGCTGTCTCAGTCGGCTGAGCTGCCGCCACCAGCACCACTGGCCCCACGCCCTCGAGGGATTCCCTTGTGCCCCACCCGGGCCCAGGTCGAGGGGACCATGGCTGGGTGCCAGAGCTGCCTGCCTCCACCTCTGAACCACCCATGCTCCATCAAGACTTTTTTTTTTTAAACATCTCCTCCCCTTTAATCCTTTTTTCTTTATCCTTTTTTTCAGGGGTCTTGACATTTATGTTAAGCATGTTTCTCAGTTAACATTTTATAAAGGTGAATTGAAAAAGAAAAAAGCAAAGATTTCTTTACCTTTTCTTACTTTGGGTGAAGGACAATCTAATTAAGATGTAGAGGGGTAGTTAGCTGGTTAAAATTTATCTCTGGTATTTAACCAGTATTACTTCCTAGGACTGCTTTGAAAAGTATTACTTATAGGGAATTTTATGGAATGTTTATATATTCTGGGTTTAAAAGTCAAAGGAAGAGAATCACGAATAACCATCTCCATTGGAAAAAGAGCATCTCCTCTATTACAGGGACCCGAGTTGTCTCTTTACAGACCTTCTGGAGTCTTTGGGAAATGAACAGTTTTTGGTTTTGGAAAAGGCTGGAGAAACGCAGTCTGCGAGCTTTTCTGCTCCGAGGCCCCCTTTCCCCCAACAAAGCCCGCCCCTCCCCTGCCTCTCCCCGGTACCCCATCTACTGCACCACAGCTATTTTCAGTGATTGGCTTTAATTAAATCACATACATGATTATAGCTGTATGTAGTTCTTCATAGTTGGATTTGTGTATGTAAGTGACGTTGCCATTGATTACATGGGGTGTTAGAAGCCAGGTAGAAACTCGGAATTCACGTAGGGAGACGCAAACCTACCGTCTAATTTAACAGTAGGAATTTTTTATGTTTTAATCACTTGGGATTTAATATATACAGTCAACTTTGGTTACTGTGAACCCAACTAATCAAACCCTGAGATAATTTGATTTTTCCCCACCTGGCATTTGGTTTATCATAGAAGCAGCTAAATGCTCAAAAGCAAGCTTGCATTGAGAATTATTTTTATAAATTCAAATTCCAGGACATGTCTGCGGGCTGTGTGGAGTTCCTTCAGTCTCCTAGGGTGGAGACGTGCATCCCAACTAACAGCAAACTACTTAGAGCATATTTTTTGAGCACCCAGGCCGAGCGGGCCTGCATCACTGCTTTCTGGTCTAGTCCATCCTGGGTGGGAGAGGAGGGATCCTACGGAGATCCCACGTCTGGCTTAGGGCAGCCCTTGGGCACAAGCACAGTGAGAGTCGTGGTGGTGAAGCCCGCCCTGGAAACCTCAGGGCGGGTGGTCTGCCCATCAGGACAGTGAACAGGGGAGGGCCTGGGCGGGGCAGGAGAGGCTGGATCTGGGGACAGTTGAGAAGCTGGCTTTGTTATATCGAAAGCCCTACGCAGGGAGTCTCTAAAGATGCACTCCAAAAGTCCCAAATAATGAGCTAAAGTGTCATTTGCAACATAAATTCTTTGTTAAATATGAAAAAGAGAGGCATCCAGTTGTACTCATTACTGCTGGTGATTTAGCGATTTAGAAAATGCCTTTGAAGGTCCCCTGGTAGCAGGAGAGCATTATTGTGTCTTCTGCAAGTTGGTCACGGCCTCTCCGAGCACTTAAGTGGCGGGGAAGTGTGGTCCCCTGAAGGCCCCTCGCCCTGGAGGCCTCAGGACCCCGCCCCAGCTTTTCTCAGGGCAGGAACAGATCGGGTGGATGGGACTGGGGGCCGTAGAATCTGCAGTGCTGCCCCAAGTCCCTGCAGGGGCCCGATGAGCCTTGGTCTGAAATCGGTCAATGCTGTTCATGCAGAAATTGGCACAGGCTGGACATTTGGACCAGAAACGATCAGAGGAGACAGGATTTGGCTTCTGGTTAAATCATGGTGATAATCAGGTGCTTCTGCTTCCAAAGGTTAAGTGGGGAAGTTGGCCCTGCATTTAATGAGCTGTGTGTTACTATACTTAATGAAAAACAGGAACGCGAGGCTACCTAGGCTTCTGCGTGTTGTGGTCTGCACGCTGCCTGTCGGCCCAATTACCACGGCAAATTAACAGCATTATTTAAATAGGAAAACAAACTTTAAATAGGAACACCAAAAGACTCAAACTCTACTCATTTCCAACACTAATATTTTGAAAGGCTTAAGTAAATAAAATGTGTTCAGATTTGCAGTAGCAGTCCTCAGGGTAAAATTGACATTCAGCCAAAGTGGTGAGGATATTAAAATCGATAGATTATGAGGGAGAGAGCCGTCAGTAAATATTTTCCTGTTGAAATCCCGTCTTTGGGTTTATACTGCTGAAATATCAGAAAGGTTAGATTTGCATATGGATGGAGCCAGGCGGGCCCTGGGACACCCCGTGCCCTTCCTGTCCACCTTGTCTGCAGCACACGACAGTGGGCGGGCGCCCTGGAGGTGGGCGTGCCAGGGGCCTAGGGAGTGGGGCCATGTGCCCCCGCTGTTGGGACTCATCCTCCATAAAGCACGGCCATCTTGTGCTCCTTCTTG